AAAGTTTCTTCACGGATGATATGCAAGTCAACCTACATGTACGATTGAGTAAATATACACTTAAATATTTTAGTGATGGATGAACAAATTACGTTCAAGAGACTGCGTAGATCCATTTTTTTGCAAGAAAGATATACTGTTCAGTTGTGTCAAAAAGCTGAACGCATGGTGGCTGGTGATGTAGAGTTTCTGCAATTCTTTTGAATATTACTGCATTGCTGCTGAGATTAGCATAAATAATTACCAAGATATATAGGAATAAAATACCGTGATTTTTGTTTCCAAGAAAGAAAATTATTGTTATTTTATTTTACCTACATGCACTACAATATGTAGTACCCTTATAATTGTAATGCACCAAGCTGGGGGACTTCTTCCTACAATTGACTAAAGGTGCACTTTTTTCAGGCTGGAGGTATCATACGACTTCATAGGACAGGGATTTCAAACATTAATTGTTTATTTATCCCAGAAATAAGATCTAGTGGGCCACATTAGGTTTGTGAAAGGGGTTTCAGGCTAGAAGCTACATGTATATGAAAGGAAAGCCTTTCCTGTNTGGTGTGTCAATGGTTGGTCACGTAACTTAACGTTGTTAATACTAAGGATGTTTTCAAGAAGTGTTTTACAGAAATTTAGAGTCTTGCAAGGCACAATATGTGTTTTAAAGAGATTTTGGAATTTGCAAAGTCGGCACAGTGCTCTCATCTACATATGTCTCCTCACTTTCTTCAATACATTCTGGACCGTTCTGATATTTCTGAAAAAAAAGTTTGTGAAATCCAAGACGGCAGATCTTTTGAGATGCATGTGAATTCATTCGCGCGTAATATGGCGAAATGACTGACATGTGGTTATCACTAAAGTTACCATCTTTGGATACTTTACATGCCATGCATTACTTTTGAGTCGATACTCCGAAGCGAAACGCGAAGGACCTAACAGGCAACCTAGGAAAGAGATTGAAGAGAGGATACTTCCACTCGTAGCCGCTTTACAAATAATAGAGCGTAAATTGGATAATAAGGTGTTGTAATATGATCACGTTCCTTGGTAGTACAAGAGAGGAAAATATCTTAATGGTAAGTACCGGATTTTTTCTCGAAATGACTTTTCACATGAATAAACATGAAAAACATGGGTTAAGTTTCTGCAGTTACCATATGCTAATGAGGGTAAATTTTGACCCAATATGGTCTAAGCTCTCGTAAACGACCACCTAGGCTTGACATTTTGGGTAGTCGCTTACGGGAGGTTGGACTGTATTTGCTAATGAGGTAAAATTGTGACCCAATATGGTCTAAGCTCTCGTAAGCGACCGCTTCCCGTAAGCTCTTACGGGAGGTTCGATCGTAATTACTGGAAATATAGATGATACACTTACAGTATTGGCTGCCTGGAATAACCATAGGGGCTAGCGGATCCAGGCATCATGCGTTCTGCAGGAGACTGAGAGAATCGATCACAGATGCTGATATTATTGCTATTTTTTTGTTGTTCTTAGGACAACTTCCAGTAACTATGGGGATATTTTCCGGGCGTAAAGATCCAGAATGGGTGATTCCAGGCAATCATCCGAAGTTGGTGAAAATTCAACTCCTTCTGGTTGCCGCAAAAAAGGCTAAAACCTTTCACACTAGAGATGAAATGCCAGCAAGGTTGGGTTACAAGGGGTTCATCGTAGTATACGAACAGGCAGAGCGCTTGATTTTGGGTCCGAAAACGGTGGATCTTCAAGAAGCTCTGTTCACCACCATGCCACAAGGTGCGATACCAGATAAGATCGTGGCGCGCACTTTGCAGACGATCAAGGCCGGAACTGTACTCCCCCAAAAACTTCGAAGGAAACGTTATGCACCGCTGTTTGACCCAGCTCCTTTTATGGACGCAAACGTGAAAAGAAACAACAACTGCTACAATTACGCAAACATCAAAATCACCAACACCTTTGCACAGCCTGGAAGAGGCTCAACAGGAATCTATGCCGCAATAACTGCCGCTGCAGTGCGAGCTGCTTCAATTGCCGATGGATTGGCGGTTGTTGCGAACGGCAACTTCCCTCAAGGATCAAGACATGTGGTGGCTCTTGTAGTTGAGGACGGTAAGTGCAAGTCACATTTAGTAATCCACAATTCGACGATATTCTCCTATGCCACTGAGATAAACTTTTGACAATAGAATAGAGTATTCCAGTGGATAGAATTTTCCAGTAGTATTCAGATGCAAACTGTGCAATTTGATTGTTTGAGTACTAGTTATTCATTTTCAGCCTTTATACACGTAGTTCACCACCAAATGTTCTTCGTGTGGGCTGCTTTTCCGGCTTCTAAAGCATAGAATGAGCCAAAAATATTTTAAGAACAAGTTTGTTTTACTTGACCGATATAACGTGAACCCAAAGAGCGATCTTGTAGCTTATAATTATTATTAGGCCTGTAGTTCACAGTAACAATAATAGATCTGTAGACGATCATTCGCAATTATCTTTGGCGAAAATCTTTGGAAATTACAGACGACTAGACATGACCAAATTCGTACTTTTCGCCTGTCGTGACCAAATTTTATACTTACTAACTTAGTTAATTGAATACTTACTTATCTTGTTCGTTTCTCTAGGTGTCGATTTCCACTGGTACCGTAGAGATAGGGATGGTAGATGGTCTCATAAGCCTGGCGAGACCAGTGTCACCCGAACTGATGACTCTTATAATCTGATTAATGATCCGTCCGCAGCGAATGTTGACATGAACGGCTACCAGTTCGTCTGTTTTATGACCACTGATAGGAACACTGTCACTATCAATTAATAATCATCTGTAATTGAGTGGTTACATCAGCAAATACCAGCCAATAGCTCTGTAAATGCGGTTTGGCAAATAAAAGAGTATTACTTACTCACTTTCTGTGTCAACTAACATAGTTTCTGAAACATTATCGCCCATTCAGCATTCAGGGTCATTTCCTCACTGAACATGGATCGAGAAGGCCTGTCCCGTGTTTAAGTCGTCGTTATAGAATTGGGCGAACGAGAAATGCAATGCGGTGTACACCAACCACTGACGAGAGTGATCAAAGTTTTTTCTGGATCTCTTTTTCTAGTTTTCATGTGAAGGCGTGGTGACCCCATGGATAGTGCGCTCGCCTCTGGATCTTGGGCAAGACACTTTGCTCTCACAGTGCCTCTCTCCAGCTAGGCACAATCGAACCTCTCCATACGGACACCTCTCTAATACGGACAGTTTCCTATGAACCAACAAAATTCTCATACATTTCCTCTAAAGAAACGCCTCTAAAACGGACAACGGACACTAAATCTCGACCCTGGGGAGCAAATTCATACAAATTTAACCTCTTTATTACGGACACTCAAGGGACCAGGTGTCGATAATTTGCGGAATGTACCGTTTCCTGTCGGAGGTTATAAAACATTGACACTTTATCATTCAGCGATACCAATACCAGAACATGTCAAAATGTTAGTTTTCAAAACTCAAATTTACAAATGCAAACACTCCAAGCTGTCAGTGGAGACTTAAAAGTGACGTCATCATACTGTCCTCTCCAATACGGACACCTTTCTATGGAGACACTTCGCTCTGCCCTTCGGAGTCCGTATCAGAGAGCTTCGACTGTAACAAATGGGTCCGGGGGGTTGTCCCTGCGATAGACGAGCATCCATCTAAGGGGGAAGTAGAAATACTCTTAGTCGCGTCATGCTACAGAAACCGGAGATAAGCGCCGAGCTTCATGATGGGCACCTTGGCTCGTGGGAACCGCAGTTTTTTCTACACTTTCTATAGTCCTTCTAAAAGCTGCTTTTCTTTTCTTTTTGTTTTTTTGTTTTTTTGTTTTTTGTTTTTTTTAAATACATAAATCGATGGAAACATGGGAAAATGTTTATATTGCTCTTACAATGTAAAGTCTCTGTTCTTGCGCCCTGATTACATGTACTCCTGATATGGTTACCAGCAAATTCAATTTAATTCTTGGTGGAGTCACCAGATGGTACCGCAATAATATGCTCACCTCACATCCTAGAAAGATCGAATTTATGTTCATCTAACCCAGATTCGGCAATGCACTCAATTATTTCACAAGTGGCCTCTACTAGGTTTTTAGGCTTAGAAATTGATAGTGACCTCAAAGGAAACAAGTATGTTTAAGATTTCAATAAGACATTAATACAGAAACTAAATCTTCTGAAATCATTTCATTTTTTTTACGGATTAACGTTCGGTTAGATTTCTATTACAAGGCCATTTTACGATCTATAAATTACGGCCTAATCATTTGGAGCTCATTCAGATATTGACGATACTGAACGGATTCATGCGAGAGCAGCGAAGACTCACCTGGATAGGTGTACCAACGGAACAAGTTTTAAACGCTGCAAACTGGTTGCCTCTTAGGCCAATACGTATTGTCAGTGCTTATTGTTTTTATCTCGGACACAACTGTTTTTATGGCGCTGCACCTACCCCTCTTCATGATTTATTCGTTAAACGTTAGACGAGTTACATTCTCAGATAAAAGTTCTGTTTTAATATTCTATGCTCTAAGACCAATACACTAACGAAGTTCATTTTTTTTGCCTATGTTGAGGCCAAGCTTTGAAACAAACAAGCTTAACAATGAAGTTAGAAATATTGGCTCACTACATACTTTTAAAAGACCATTTGGCAAAATGCCGCGTGGATTTTACATTTTATAAATATTATATATAGTTAAACTTTTTTCAGTTATTGTTTTTTAGTTTTATATTTTATCGTATTATTTCTGTAATCAATAGCTCTCTTTTTTGTAAATACCTTGTAGATGGGATTTTAGATAGTTATATAATTTTTAGACACGATCACATCAGCGTTGCTGTTACATCTTTATCGTGTATAGATAAATGCTTTACCTCACCTTACCTTTCATTGCACATTGCACAAAAATATTTAATATTAAGATTAAAAAATTATAATAGAATTAAGGAGAAATTTGTCTAGTTTACTGGCCTCTTATTGTTAATGTATGCAATCTTCCCGGTTCTTTTTATGCGTTTGCTTGACTTTGATGTATCTTAATTGCAGCAGCGTTGATGTGATCCATGTCTTTAATGCCATTTCCGTTTGTCCAAAAATCCTTGAATTCGCTCTTGGCGTCTAAGTTAAAGTTTCCTTCTTGAATATCCTCTTTTCTGTAAAGAAATACGTCAACCACGTGTTAAAGAAAACTTTCACATCCATCTCAAGTTGCCTACTGCCAAATTTGCTGATTGTGTCTGTAGCATATACAGTTACCTTACATGTAGCTGTCACTTTTTGAAACGCAAAGATCCCAGGGAGAATTGATTTTACGGGAGTGCCGGGTGGAGGACTACTTATACTTAACTACTTGCATGGTTATACCCCGGGGAGATTATCAGCGGGAACGTCAGGTATTTTTCAGACAGTGTGATGAAAAGAATCAGCGTGAGAAAAACGATTTCGGTCATGGATGTTTCTGTTTGTTGTTTGTTTGTTTGCTTGTTTTTCTTTTTAATTTTGACCTTTTTGCTCATTGACGACGTAACATCCATGAGCGTAGGAGGCAGTTGGATGGCGCTCGCTCACTCACTCCATTCTGATTGATTTATTCACCAAACCTGGATTAAACAATTTTCTCCTACGTCCTCTGCCAAGTATTGTTTTTGTCCAAGAGTGTTCAGTCGTCTTCAGGAAGGTTTTTTGACGAGGGGGACTAGAAAGGCGTACATTTTTGCCCGATAACTCGTGAGTCTGGGTACGAGTTTGTCGAACACCTCGAAAGATTGAAGTCGGCCATTTTGGTTTTATGTGATTTTCTTTCGTAAATATGTGGTATTTGCCTATCGGCGTTTGCTCACACGTAGACCCGCCAGAACACGGTCGGCAAGGTCAAAGAACTGATACAAGACACCCGGGAAGACAAAGCCAGTAAGTGAGATTGTGATTATATATGGGAGAAGTTAAGCTCGTAGCTTTTTTTCTTGGCAAGAGAATTTGATGGTTTCCACTCGCTTTCTCTCGTCGTGGAGTCCAAGGTATACGTAAATTCGTCATGTTGGGTTTTGGTTTCATTGTTTCTTAATTTTTTTTTATTTTTTATGCACACGTTGAAATTGTGCCTGTGTTAGTATGGCAAGTTCGAAATTTGTAAGCTTGTTTTGGAAAATATATAGAATTGCCATATCTTTTAGTTTTGTTGTCGTTCACGCTACATTTCTTTTGTATTCCATGCAGTTCGACCAGAGTAAAAGTTTCTTCACGGATGATATGCAAGTCAACCTACATATACGATTGAGTAAATATACACTTAAATATTTTAGTGATGGATGAACAAATTACGTTCAAGAGACTGCGTAGATCCATTTTTTTGCAAGAAAGATATACTGTTCAGTTGTGTCAAAAAGCTGAACGCATGGTGGCTGGTGATGTAGAGTTTCTGCAATTCTTTTGAATATTACTGCATTGCTGCTGAGATTAGCATAAATAATTACCAAGATATATAGGAATAAAATACCGTGATTTTTGTTTCCAAGAAAGAAAATTATTGTTATTTTATTTTACCTACATGCACTACAATATGTAGTACCCTTATAATTGTAATGCACCAAGCTGGGGGACTTCTTCCTACAATTGACTAAAGGTGCACTTTTTTCAGGCTGGAGGTATCATACGACTTCATAGGACAGGGATTTCAAACATTAATTGTTTATTTATCCCAGAAATAAGATCTAGTGGGCCACATTAGGTTTGTGAAAGGGGTTTCAGGCTAGAAGCTACATGTATATGAAAGGAAAGCCTTTCCTGTCAAAAACACTGTAAAATGAACAGGTCTTTGACCTTGAGCCAGAGCCTCCTTCTATAAAACGTTGTTACTTCCCTTCCTCCTCTCCATGGACATAATTCTATAGAAAAAAAAACCTTAAAAATTTTAAATAAAAACATTCCTTTCACTTTAGGTTCATGGTTGAAACAACAGTGTCTGAAATCATTCTTATGATATTGAAGGAAATACTTTTTTTTTTTCCTATAGATTTCCTATTTACCCGCAAGCTGCAATCAAATTGTTTATGTCTGACTTAGCGTAAAGTAAACAAGATTTTGCCAATATCTTGCCAATACTCTTGGCGGTCCTGGCATTCTCAAGTTGATTGTCTAAAATAAATTTCAAAATCATTTATTGTAATTTTTGTATAATAGTAATCATTGTTATACAGCTGTTTTATAATGTTAACTGAACAAGGACCATAACCAATAATATCTACCTTGACCCAAAATGCACTGCCGACTCATACACATAATTATATTGTCAATTTTGGACTGACTGGTAAATATGGTGAACTCTCATTTCATGACTTCATTTTGAAACAGACTGTTGCTATTCTTTGACACTACATCATGTACAAGTTAATATAATAACAAAGTTCCAGCTCCAATCAAAATTAATTACTATCCATTTTAAAATTCATAAGCTGTCTGTGAAAACAACCTGTTATTTGATTTTTCTATTTCTTTTCTACTTCGATTAGTCTGGCCTCGAGCCCTGGCTGGGAACATTGTATTGTATTCTTGAGCAAGACACTTAACTCTTGCAGTACCTCTTTCCACTCAGGTGTATAAATAGGTACTGGCAATATTGTAGGGTAACCCTGCGGTGGAATAGCATTCTATTCAGGGGGTAGTAGAAATACTCCTAGCCGCTTTATGCTACAGAAACCGGGATAAGTGCTGGCCTGATGGGCCACTTGGCTCATATGCAGACTCTACTTCCACTTCGGGGTTGCTGTTTGCCTCTTTTTTTAGAACAAATGCTCGTGCAAAACATTTCACATGAAATGACTTGATTTTCAAGAGAATGAACGTGCAGGTGACATACATTTCACACAAATAGTTTTGCCACGAAGGTCAACTATTCATCCATGAGCTGGCTCAAGGAGCCTTTGATTCTTAATGATATATATTTTTTGCGCTTGTTGAAAAAGTACGTCGTTATGTTGTGTTTCCTCCGTATGCTAAACATCCGTAAGCTAAATAAATTTATTATGTTTTTGTCTCGGAATGGGACAGTCGTTGTTATTCTTCTCCTATTGCAAAAAAATGAAAAACGAAAATTCTTCTGTTTGTTTTTTCACGTCAGTATGGAAAAGGAAATCGAAACTTTACGCGGAAAGACGATCACTAAGGGCAAATTCGAACTTCCTCCAGAAGAAAGAGAGAAAGAGAGAAACAATGCCATTAAATAAGTTTGATTACTTTCAAAATGATCTGTGAAAAAGTGAATTGGAGATTCTAAGCTGATCGTGAGGTTAAAACTACTAATCTTTCCTTAACCTCTAAGACTTAAGTTTTCCATTCATTGTCATAAAAACCTTTATAAACTTATTGCAAATTGCTTAGCCTAAATTCTCGATTCGAAAAGATCTCAACGCGCAGGCGTCAAGACTAATATATACGTCACACCAATAGCCCGACGTCACGAACTCTCTAATAGGTTTGCACTCTTAGGGACCAACTGAATAGGAGTTGTATGCTAATCGCAAGCTTCTTAAGTCAATTATAGTTCTTTTCTAATGGTTTTCTCCGAGTCTCCTCTGCAACACACCCAATAAATAGTCAAGTAAGAGTTGTGACGCATTAGTTCATCAGATGTACTTTCGTGAAACCTTAATGTATCATTTGCAGTTGGCCAAAAGTTGAGAGGCAAAAAGAAAACTATGAAGAACGAAAATGCTTTTAGCTGAAAGGTCGCTTCACTCCTACATGTACATGTACGTATAAGCGAGAGTAGATTTTTAACTTTGTCAAATATTGAGGTGCTCTCTACTCCAGCCGCATCAAATATTTTTTACGAAAAGCAGGAATTAAAAGTTAGTGAGCATTCTATAAGTCTTTCATTGCTCTTGTATTGAGCTTAATGTCTACTTAATTTACAACAATTTATTGATGTAGAAATGGCAAAGTACGAAAAAGGGCGAGTTCTACAGATTAAAACTTTTGTCGAAAGGTAGACCACAGATACCGTTTGCGATCGATTGCAAATTTCTTTAACCACCCACTTGGTCGAATTTACATCAATATTTGTCAACATGAACTAACTCTTTGAAATAACTACATACACTATTAATATTTTACATGGTAGTATTAGCACGAATTCACTAAGAAGCTTCGCTTCCAGCTACTGAAACTAACAAGGCATTCACTCCGTGTTAATTGAGAGATGTGTTTCTCATTCGAAACACTTCATTGGAGGACAATCAATAGCTTAAGAAATAATTATCACTCTGCTACACCTGCCCTCTGTTGTTATAATTTTTGTGACGTTTAAAAACGCTTGATTTTTTTGGATTTTCTTTGCCTGTTCCGATTTCAGCGAATTTCCCTGACAGGCATAATGACTATTTTGTATATGACTCAAAAACAGTATTCTACTATGTAGACCTCTAACATAAGCATTTTCTTTTTCTAGCTACTGTATTCAAGTTGAGAGGTTATTTGACTTTAAATGCGCTCTGGGTGTATATATTATATTTTCTTTTAAAAAGTATATTTACGCATTGGGAAATTAAAGAAAAAATAAATAAAGAGACAGACGGAGGAAGAAATTATGGGAGGCAGTTCTTGAAAAGCGGGCTGCACTGTTTCAGAATGTCATTTGTCAAATATTAATAAATTTCTTAAAAGGAAAATTAATGCATGTTGTAACCCTGTTATACTAAAACGGTAATGTTACTTTTATTATTTGTAGATTTTTTGCAAAATGTCAGGTATTAAAGAAATAGATGAAAAGATAATAAACAGAGAAAATTTTACAAACAACAAAGCAAATAAGTTCTAGAAAATCTTAATTAATTATGATCAACGCCTGTTTACAGCCCAAACTAGACTGCCCGGGCGGAACGCAAAATTTCGTGTTATTTCTGTGACCCATTCAATTTATAAGCAATGGCGAGAATTAAAGTTCCTTTTTCCTGTTGTGTTGATCTCTACAACAGAGCCTTAAAAATATGATGTAAAATAATAAGAACTCGCAAAAAGAAAATACAGGAGAGAAATATAAATTTTAAAAGACACGAAACCTGAGAACGATGCTTAAAAATAGTTCGTGAAAGAAAAAGCAGAAACAAACAAACAGAATAAGCACAACAAACTAAATTATCATTTATCATAAACTTTATTTTTTTAGTGTCGTTACTTGGAAGGCATTAACAAGAGAGAGAATAAAATTGGTGTAAAATTTGGATTCTAGTAAGTTTATCAATGTTAGTTTTGTCTCGCAAGCTAGAAAGTGTAACATCAGAGAACTTTGGGATTTAGGTTATATTGACAGGTGAACCTGGTGAAATTTAACTCACTGTAACGGCTCGTTCACCAGAAATAATGGGAAATTAGCAAAAAAAAAAAAGGGGGGGGGGACAAAACAAGCACATCGACGACAAAGAAAACTATAGGAGGATGGTCGATTTATATCGGATAATTTGTAACATACCACTCTCTACCTACCACAATTACCATATATATTAGAAATTATTTTTATTACTTTTTTTAATTCCTGGCTGGCTAATACTCAAAGAACAAACACTGAAGTGAAAAACAAAGTGTGTTCACGTCCATATACCCGTGTACATGTGAACATTTAAAAATATAAGATATACTGAAAGTAGTTCTGTAAGGATCAGAGTTGTTCGGCAACCTAGTAAAACTTATTTTGATATAAATGGAAATTGGCTTTTTTACCTTGATAACTGATGACCGCCGTCGACCACATTTGAATGAATGCATGCCGCAAACACGCTTGAATAACTCGGGTGTGTTATATGGAATCTCGACAAAATTGCGAATCTCTGTATTACTTGTCGACGCCACTTGCTCCGGCGAACCTTTCACAGTCAATGGCATGCCTATCAACGCTAAAAGTAACACAGCAGTTATAAAGAAATGTTTGCTATTCATTTTCGTGTGCATGGGTACAGTTTTAAAGTTGGTCGTTCAAGAGTGCCTTGCTAGATGATTGCAGTGCAATGTTGAGAGCAATTGAAGCTTTCTTGAATGAAATGTTCCTTTTTATCCGTTTTCTTTTCAGCGTCAGCAGACAATTCTAGAGTGATCATTGGGGCATTTATGTCGTTAACTGTGGGCGGTGTACATCATAGAGACTCCAAAATACTTTGTTTAAAAGGTGGCAATTAAGGTTTAAATTATGTATTATCTTAATTAAGCGCCCGCTTGTCAGAAGTCGTACTGTGCAGTTATATACTGGGTTTCTGGAATATTTGAAGGTCACGTAGCCGAAAACACCCACGACTAGAGAAAACCAATTAATTTATGTTTTAACACATGTATGCGAGATCGTGTTACAAGAATATTTCAACACACTCAGCATTGGAATAAAGAAAGAGGCGCTTAAAAGGCGTTTAAGTTTTATCGTCAATAAACAAATCCCAGAAAGAGCCAGTGTTGATTGATTCACCTGTCTTGACATTTCCATTTTTATTAATAGAGAATGGGAGGCGTCATTTGCACATCAAAGTTTCTAATCTATTATCCAGCGATCGATAAAAAAGGGAGATGATTCTTAAGATGGCGTCTATTTAAAAATACTATAGCTTCCAATTAACATTTATATTTCCTTTCCAGCCTTTTGTCTTTTTCTGCTCGCTTGTTCAGTGTTCCGGTATTCCGGTCTGCTGATTTCTACCTGCTCGCACACTCTTCCTCCGATTTTTATCAAGAATTGATGGATAATAGCTCTCTGTTCTAATTCCTTTTCTTGAAAACGTGGCTGAATAGAGAAAAGTACCAGAGCAAACAATAATTCTTTTGAATATTTCTCGTCAGACTTCCTTAGTTACACTTGAAAGACACTGCATTGTACGAACTACAGAAATAAACATGCTTTGGCCTTCCGTTAGCTGGCTGTAAGGTCGAAGTCACGTGATCATTAATTTTGAGTGATTGATTTTGTTTTGTTTTTTTTCTCGCCACCAAGGCTCTTGTTTTACTCTTTTTTTTTTTCTAGTTATAAGATGCCAAATAATATTCCATAAATGAAACTGTAAAACTACAGATAACACAATTTTGCCCTTGAAACAGAAAAATCTCACGGCTGCGTGGGAAAAAAATAGTCCAGATGACGAGAACCTTTTTTTGTCTCAAATTTTCCGACTATTTCTTTCCGTTTTATTGAACAAAGCAATTGATTAACAGCACAAATCAACTGATCTGGTTTATCAGAGGCCTTTCTTTAAACTGATAACCATCAAACATCAATGGACTCCATCCTTTAAAGAAAACTGTGAAGGCCGAGTTTATTCTGATTTTATCTTAATTATTGACCTCACAAAAACTTTGGTTTTCACCATTCTACGCACAAAATGGATGACATAAAGGTTCTACGTCGTTGATGACACACTCACCAGGGCGCCAAGTGTAGCTTGGAAATTTCAGACATAATTGACTGTACAAGACGTCTCTCATCAAGGCAATCTTGGTACATCTCTTGATGAATTCTTGTGGCCTTATCGTGGGAATGCGAACAACGTATATTCCAAACAGGATGTGGGTCATCAACAAAATCTCTATGAACAACGCTTTATTCACATTTTGTATAAACGAAAGCTTGGAAAGAAATACAAAGGATGAATGATAAATGCGAGTCACACAAGAAAGACCGGTGTATATTTGTTGAAAAAATGATACCAAGAAAAATTTGATGGATAATAGATGAGGGTTCCCAAAAACTGAATAAACCTTACACAATCTTAAATCTTTTCTGGACTGGCTCTAATCCTTATGTGCATCATTTGTATTTTATCATTTGTATTTTATTCAGTTAAAATTTCACTATATATTATGCGAAAATGTGAATAGAGAATTAGTTTTAAAGATTTCTCAAGGCTGTATATGCTGTTTAGAACTTTCATATACACCTGATTAAAAAAAGTATAAACCGTAAACGATACAATTTTATAAACAGAATTATGGGAAGACTGAAAAGCGTGTGCATGATAAATATTCAATTTTGTTTCCTCGTGGCATTGAATGATTACAGGTCAGCTGCCCGAAGAAGCTATTTAGAAAAAACCTCGAAACTGACCATGCCTTCCTAAATGTAACTATGTTAGAACAAAAAAGAAAATCTGAACGCTAAGTGCTTTGAGGTACGCCCAAGTAGACCTATAAAGAACTATAAAGAAGAGATCCGGCCTGCGACTGACTGTTCATTTTCGATTCAGTGAAAAGCAACTGCGGTTTTGGTAGCCATTACTTCACTTCACCCTTGCTTACCTATTACAGATTGTGAGTAAACCCGCCTTTTCTTCAATAATAATGAAGCCGCACAGCCCGTTAGCTTAAAGTCTTCAGAGTACGGCGCCTTAAGCATGTAAGAATGCAAATTAGTATTAATTCCAAGTTTCCAAGAAAATCACTGTGTCATATCGTCTATGGTTCATACCTTTTTCTTCACAACGTTTCGCCAAATAGGTGCATACTTGATTTTATGATTAGGATTGTGCAACTGATTTAGGCTTGTCCAGTCATCTGTTACTATTTGCACGGTTCCTTGTGAGTTTCATTTAGGTGGAAACCGCGGAATAAAACATATAGTAGGTATTTAAGTGAGCTTCAATCGATGTTGTACCGATGTTGTGATATGTTGAAGATTCTGCTAGTAACCAGTTAATGTTCGGAATGAACACAACATGCAAGAGATCTTTTAAAACGCCTAAGCTTTACTTTAAGAGAAAATGCTTTTTTTGTCAGTAAATTGGACGAGGGCTAAAATAAATTGTGTAGTCGATATTTAAGAGATTTGGCATTTTTATAGAAAATAATATAGTTCTTACTCTATCGGCCAAATTGTTTTTTTTGTTTTGTTTTTTGTTTTGTTTTGTTTTTGCTGTGGAAAAGGTTGAAATTAAAAAAGAATGCCATCTATTTTAAGTTTTCCATATGTTTAGCGTGTAGTTTCATGCTAACCGTCGGGTAAAACATCTCACTTATATTCAGTTACAATAATTAGGATTCACCAGACGTTTGATGCGTAGAAAGGATGCACAAATAAGCGTCGACATCTATTTCAACTTAAAAAAGTCACTCTGCATGCGTACTTCTGAATGTAAACAACAAAATTTAAATCAACCCCCCCCCAAAAAAAAAAGAAAAAAAAGAAAATGCGCCTTACCAATTATTGACCCCAAATATGACAAGAGAGTCAACGCAGACGCGAATACAATTTGCTGAAATGTGTTCATAGAAATGCGAGAAGCTACAGACAGCTGCTAGCCACACCAGATAAAGCATACCGAGTGGTAAAATAAAAGTAATCGTAATGGATTGGAGAAGTAGAAGTTATTTATGCCGTTACGTATTTCAATTTATAATCCATCAAATATTTTAGCTCGCGCGCCATTGGTCGAAACGCGTCACATGACTGAATATTCCCCAACTAAAAACTGGGGAATATCTGAGTGATATTCCCCAATTTTCAAAACCGCGCGTGTTGCGAAAAAAATTGCACTCGGAAAACTGTTCGCTTCTCGGAACAGATACTTTCCGCGGACAAATATCCGAGCATATTTTCGCGCCAACTGGACGCTATTGTTTATATACTCCACATGATCAGTCATTCAAATTTACGAGAGTCTTCTCTTGAAATTTCCTTATCTATTACGACAACTTCTATATTTTTTGGTTTACGCAGTAGAACACTTATTTATCTTTTCTCTTCATTCGCTCATTACCTTCCTGTCGATTTTCCAAGATAACAATGTTTCGAGAGGGAGCCAGTTTCGTATTGCGGTACTACGATATAAGTTCGGTAAAGCACAAATTGACAACTGACCAAGAGGCTTTTGTTTACAAAGGGAATGGGTTTCGTTAATTGCTTAAAATTTGATACCCTTTACGGCTAATCTTATTGGTACAGTTCTGCCACGTATAAGGCGAGTTTAATTATGCCATGGTTCGCGTTTTGGCGACAGGTAGTTGAGTCAAAATGCCCATATTTGATGAGACTAAACGAGCCATGTGATCATGATATCGAAGCCATATCAGGCCAGCAGGCATGGTTTCTGATTGGGCAATAGTGAATTTGGGTACCGATGAGATCAGAAAATTAAACAAGCTGGAGATGGTAATTTAACAGGCTGTGTGTTTATCGATTTATCCAAAGCATTCGGCACCATCAGTCACGCAGGACTTTTGAACAAACTTCCTTTCTACGGAATCCACGGGAGAGAACTGGAGTGGTTCACTGATTATCTTTTAAGTATAACACAGGCTGGCCAATATAAGGGTGTATTAGAAGTAGAAGTTCAATCAGTTTTTTCAGGCGTACCACAGAGGAGTATCCTGGGGCCCGTTCTGTTCATAATCCATTTTAATGATGTCCATAAACCGCTGCACTTTTCAAAGATAATTACTTATGCTGATGACTCTAATTTATACCTCATTCAAAGACATTGTCACGATCCGAAGGAACCTCAATGAAGACATTAAGAGTGTGTGCAAGAGAAAACCAGGCAGGAGGTAGTACAGCTCCAGTTACCGATTTCGCTCAAACTTGGCACAAATGTTGGGTTTGGTGAGTAAATGATCATGGCAAAAAATTAGGTCAAAATATGTTATTCCCTTCAAGTTAGGAGGACCCCCTCCAAAGATGGCCATTTGTCACTAATTTATGCATATTTAATTAGCTGTCTTTGATTTAGTATTTCTACAACAAAAAAGTCCATGTGAAAATGAAATCCACTGGATCATGTTCTCCTACTATCAGTCTCAAAGCACAGATATTCATTTGAACTAGACAATTTGATTTTTCTCCATGGCTTCATCTAAAGTAAGGTGCATATTTTGTAGAGTTGTGAATAGCCTTTAATTGATGGCAAATATCTGCACTGGGCAACAGCAAATACGCATTATTATAACACGGATAAAAAGCCATCAAATGTTTGGGACTTCAAAATTTTTTCTGTGCTGGCGTACTGTTTACATAGGACTTTACGATTTTTCGCCATTTCATGAACATCCACTATAACACAAAAGCCATTTTTTCTGTTTTAACCTAACTCGAAATCAACAAGAAATATCTACCTAAGTATTTTCCTATCAATTTCCGGTATAAATTCGGAGAAAAGAAGCACTTGAGACATTTCTTTCATATATTTTCAGAGCTACATTTTGTGGCATTCTCTCGATATCGAAAAATGCAGCAGAAGAAGATTCAATGCATCAGTTCTCTCAACTTATGTTTTCAGGCGTAAAATAGAATGCAAACAATAAATAGCTA